TTCAATCACCTTGATTAAAAAAGTACGGCGCAATTCTTAGAACTCGAATAATTGATTGCCGCATGCTTAAATAAATACGTATAAAAATAGAAAATCTAAATTCATTCTCGTTTTTTGAAAGAAAAAAATCTAAATACTGTTGAATGCTAATTCAATAATAATTATCAGCTCCGTTTAGAGCAACGTTCATGATAAGTACGACCGCCATAAAAGTACCGTGATTATTTATTGCAACAATGTACTTAGGTATTTTTTTATTTATGTTAGGATAAGAAACGTCAATGATTATTACCAAAATATGGCAATACTTTTCTACTGCTAAGAAAAGAAAAACATAATTTCAACACTAAAGCACAATATTTTTTTTAAAAAGATATTAGAAATTTTATCCTAATACGTAATATACAATATTGTTACCATTTAACATGTCATAATATAAATTACAATGGACAAAAAATTACTTTCATTAATAAAATGTATTTATAAATAGCCAATACGTAAATAAGATACAGTATACATACTTTATCCATATATATATATATATATATATATATATATATATATATATATATATATATATAGATAAATGTAAATTAACTTTTAAATATTTTAAATTCAAATTTATTATTAATAATATAAATTTCAAAATTTCAAATGACATAATTATATAAAGCTTATTCAATGAGAGATTCGAACCGATGTTCTCTCAATTACATTCTTATTGCATTTTAATTGCAGTTATACTTCATGCAGCACTTGCTTACGTCACTAATATTAAGCTATTCCACATATTGTATAATTTGTTGAGTCCAGTTATGAAATAAAATACTTTGAGATATTGTTAAAATGAACTTTGAAGCTGTAATTTTTAATTATTAACCAATAATTGTAATTAATGTAATATTTAAACGAACATTGTAAACCAAGTATTGAAAAGACAGAAATCCGAGATTGCGACTATACAATGTTTTACATATACTCGTAATGCATAACGTGGGTCTTGGCTCTCCTGTAGAGTATCGCATGCAGAGACACGAAGAAACAGAAAAAAAAGTAAGGGGAAGGAAATGTAACGGGAAAAGAAGAGACAGAAAGACAGAACTCTGCAGGTCAGAGTTTAATTGTAAAATTTTTATACGAGCAGCCACATTATCGCTACAGGCTCTTGTGATAACATGAATCATACGATACTGCTGATCTCCATTTAACATCTTTTCACAACACAATAAAAAAAAAAAGAAGAAAAAAAAAGAACCGTACTTCCCCTCGTGAAATGAAAAATACATAACAATATTAATACTATAATATTTATTTTCCGTATACAAATTATTTTTTAGTTGAAAATTTTGATAATTTGATAATAGTTAAATTAACTTTATGAATATGATACTTGTAAAGGTAAATACAAGATTGAATTAAGTTAATTTTATAAAAAACGATATTATAAAATTAATATGTTTAGCGAATAATTTAGTATGGTTGACTTTAACCATGACATTTAATTAATTAGTATTCAATATGGTCGATTGAATATTAAAAAATTTTAGTATTGAACATTTAAAAAATTTTTTTTATCAATTTACTATAGATTTTATAACGAGACTCCGATTTTAAATATTGAATTATAACACGTATATTAGTGTTAATTTTTTTAAATGATATATAGTTAAATTAACTACATTCTTGTCATTTTTATTTTAAAATAAAATGTTTAATCGCATATGAGTCAGAAATTCTTCGGTGCAACCAACAGAAATCAAAGAAGATTTTCATTGACGTAAACATGTACGTCCGTAGGAAAATGTGACAATTAAATCAATTATAATTGTACGTTTCTTGAACAGCAGCATGTTTCTAATAATCGATTTCAGAATAAATTACGTTTGATATAAATAATTTTTAACTTGCTCTTAAGCAACATTCATAAATATATTAAAAAAATATATGACTCTCGAGATCACGTATATATTAAAAATAAACAATATACTGCCACTTTCAATAGACAATATATTCTTGTTTAATGAACAATATGTTTTATAAAAAAAATTGTTATAAAATTAACTACTGTAGCATTTATATTGGCATTCAATATTTCACGAAAATATTTCATATAAATTTTCACTGTATCCTATTGAAAATATTTAATTATAAAAAAAACGTGTGATTTAATAAAAAAAATTTGAAAAAATAATATTAGTTTGTTTTCCATTTCTTTAATAAAAATGCAATTAATATTATAAATGTATTTCTTGATTTTAAATAAAAGTATAATAATTGAATAATTGAATTTAAACTAGTTTATTGTTTAAAAATTAAATTTGTCATATTCTATGATAATAATAAGTGAATCGTATCGGCCAAACCTGTAAAATCATTGTTAATATTACGGTCTCACGTATATTTAATTATGAATAACAGAATAATACACCTAATATAGTAAATATTAGAAAAATACATTATTCTGATTGTTTTAAAGTAATATTATATAAAGGCAACATTACTTGGATAAAATTATTCTTGGACGAATGTGCATTTACAATTGAATTGCATGTGATTACATAACATTATCAACTAGCTCATGCTAGTAACTATTTTATAAAATTTTGTAACAACCAGTCGCCATAATAAATAAGTAGCGGAATATTGTAAAATAAAACTAAATTAAAAATAAATATTAATTACAAAAGTATAAAACAGCATATTAAATTATTTAAATATCTCAATGTCGAATCGTTTATGCTCCATAGCGCATTGTTTATAAAAAAAAGTATTATGAAGAGGTATTATTCAATATCCATTTTTTTTTTTCAGGAAATTTTTGTTTACAATCACACAATTTTGTCTTATATATAAACAAAACATTTATATAACTCATTCAAAAGCATATTCAATAAAAGAGAAGATTCATTGAATATCGCGTGTAGTCCCACAAATTTCGATTTAATTTATAAACAACATATAGTGATAAATATATGTAAAATGATGTAACGTTAAATTTATAGAATTCTTTTAAAATAGAAAACTATTAAAATCTCATTAGACATTAGCTACACAGGTGCTGCTGATGCATTGACATTGATGAATATTGAATTGATAAACAAATATAGAAGAAAAACATTTTGATTAATTATGTTAACAATCATTTTTCTGTATATTACCTTAATTGCCTTAAAGAGATTCATTACTCTCATGTAACGATTGATAGCAGAAAACTCGAGTAGAACTTAGAAAAAAGTTTGAGAATATAAGCTATTTAATAGAGAAACGTTTAATTAATAAAATTATTACGTTACATCGTCAACGAAATATGAATTAATTTAAAATATATCGATCCGACCTCATTTATTGTACATATCAAATTGAGATGAGAGCTTATTTGGTTCGAATTAAGAGCAGCTCGAAGACAATGACGCACGCAGGTTCACTCGATCGAATGGTAAATTCGAGTGGAAGATATGAGTTTTTAGAAAATTTCAAGCGGAAAACTTGTCGGCGCATTGTTGTCGCCAATGTGTATTAATTATAGCATCTTGCAAATACATATGAACGAGGCATTACAATAACAATGATAAGAGAGAAAGGGAGGTGAGCAAAGAAGAGAGAGAGAGAGAGAGAGAGAGAGAGAGAGAGAGAGAGAGAGAGAGATCAGAGTGCATCCGTGGATATTGGCTCCCCGCATAGAAATACGTGATCGCGTTTAATTATTGAGGGAATGATATCTCGAGTGAGACGCCACTAGTGACGCGCGAGTCCACTAACACTTATCTAGGCTCATAATCTCTCTCATAACTCGCATAATTTCCGATTGCCCCTTCTAATTATACATCGTCTTGATGTATTTATTTCTCTTAAATGCCAGCACTATGAATGGAACGCTGTGCAGTGGGGTAAATTCACGCACATTGATCAAAATAACTTTTGTACATTCGATAAGTTATTAAATTAACTATTAGATAAAACGAGACGTCTTTTTTTTTTTTTTTTTTTTTTTTTTTTTTTTTTTTTTACCGCATTAACAATGATTTCTCGCTTATTATATAACACTTATTGTATTTATTTAATAAAATAATTTCATGTGGTGAAAAAATAATTTTAATTTTCAATTCTACTTTTACGACGACTGAAATTATTACATTGCTGGAGAGTGCAAAAATCGTTTTCATCTTTGCCCCTTTGGACATGCAATTTTTTAATTACAAAACTGCATATTATAATAGTATCCAAATAATTAATTGACATTTGGAAAATACATGTTATATTAAATACATATTATAAAGAAAAAATTTCTTTTAACTGAAATTTTTTATTTTTTCATCCAATCCAATTGCTGCTATAATTTTTTGTATTATTTAACATATAAATTTTAACATTAGTTACATTTGACCAATGTGATTTAATTTGACAAATAATGAAACAATTCATAGATACTGTTTATTGTTTACAACTTAAAGACATTGTCAATCAATATAATAATATTGTGTAGGAATAAAGAATTATTATGACAATTTTGTGAGACTAACAATGGTCGTATATCGTTGTTGTTATATATTGTATTACGAAATTATTGATGGGAATTAATAATAAACAATGACAATTGTATCTAGTCATTCAATATACATTAATTGCGTATAAATTTCAATACAAATACATGATTTGATAAAATAAGCAATACTTTTATCGTATTGTACTTCTATTAAGATTTTAAAAACAAGGAAAGATAGGCATTCTTCATAAGTGTAGGAAAATTTATTGATTTATAAAAATGAAAATGAAAACCAATAGTTTGATATGATTTACAGATAACAACTGCCGCGCGAGTAATTACACTTAATTTTAATATGCGCTCAATAGAAAAATCACAATTTAATAAGGAAGGCGCAGATGGTGCGCGGACTTTTTAAAAAAAAAAAAAAAAAAAAAAAAGAATACATTAAATTTTACGTGTTTTATAATAAAGAGTAAAGAAGATGAAGATAAGAAATGAATGTGAATTGACTGACCTGCACATGACGCAGAGCACATATGTACAAGGGGACTGTCCGGAGGTAAGCATGTGTTGAATAAATTTTTTGTTTGAGAGTAAGTGCTGAAATAAATAGCCCTGGACGGGGCGACACCTATAAGGTTAGGTACGAGACCCTTGAAGAGTGCTTTCGGACCCTCGTGTTCGACAATGTACCTCAGACACTGGACAATTCCGGGGGGCACGGGTACGTTATGTGGTCGGCCGCCGGGAAGCGGCGATACGGCACAATGCGACAAGGTTACTAGTGAATACCTGCAGATAAAAGCATTTTTATCACGATAACATTCACTTTATAATTTCATTTTCATCAAATTTTAATCGATGCACGATTTTTATGACGCGTGCGCTTTAATTCGCACAAACTCATATTAAATAATCGTAATACCGATGATCATAACGGTAATAAGAATTATTAAGAATAGTAATATAATGTTAGTAATATAATGGTATTTCATCAATTTGTAAAATATGATAAAACGTTTTATTCTAAATAATCTTATATTGCTTATCTTAATACGAATATTAATATTAATTTTATAATTATTAATAGAAACATTTATAATATAATATATTTGTAACAAAAAAATTGCCTTTTAAGTAAAAAATGCTAAAATGATTTATTGCAATAAATAAACTAAGACTTACATGCCATACATATTATATTAAATCAAATTTTTTTCTGTCGAAATTTTCACTTTTAATAACAAAAACTTTTTTTATGATAGATATTAACAAAAGAAATTTATAATAAACCCTGATATTTAAAACAAGAGATTTTTTTCTATTACAATTAGAATTTTGTTATAAAACATACTTCCATTATTATATTATCATTTAAAATTTTATATATATAATTAAATGTATAATCTTACAATCATATAATTATATTGAAAAACTTTATTTAATATTTTGATCTGAAATTTTTATATATTTTTAAATATATTTAATTTGTTATCATAATACAAAGTATTATAAAAAAAAAAAGAAATAAGAAAAAAAAGTATTTTATTTGCCATTTTTACTGATAAAATAATCAAATTAATAATTTAATATTATAATAATATAATTTAATAAAATATAATATTTAGATAATTTAAATAATATTTTAATATTAGCTTATAGTAACGATTCCGAATTATTATTATATTAATAAGTCTTTTAAAGATTAATCTTCTAGGAATCAACTTTGACAATGTTTCTGCAACCTATTCTGAATTTTTCATGTCATTAATTTTTTATAATGACATAAGCTACAAATTTTTATGCTATAAATTATTATATGCATTATTGCAATAACTTATATTGTATTAAAAAAAAAAAAAATTTCCATAAAAATTAACTAACAATTAATAAATATATTCAGAAATATCATATATTTTTATTTTTCTTCAATATTGCCCATTTGTTCCTTAAATAGCATTAAAAAATTTACACGCGGTTAGAAGGTGAACGTTATAAATAACTGAAAATCTGAATTTAAAAAAAAATAGAAATGTACATGCAAATAATTATAGAGTATATAAGCCGCTTTATGGAGTATATTAGACATATTAATACAATTATTCAACTTATTTGCTATTCTCACAAACGCGAACAAAATACATTTTTAAAAGAGCATGTATCTTTATTGTTTGCTACTAAGCAGATTATCGTACGGACGAATTTTTGCTTACATCAGACATTAAGAACGTTCTCACGTACCTCTTTGATTCTCCAATACATAGTCGCTTTCGCTGCGAGGGGTTGGAGAAACTTTTGCACGTAACGTGACCAGAAGCGAACTCTTTACTAATTGTTGGCGGATAAAAGCCCGCGGAGGAAGACTGCATTCGTGTCTTCACTACTTCTAAGGGGCAAGTTATAATTGCAGCTACTGTCCCAGCAACCCTAAAAGAAAGTATCATAAATTATCAATAAACAGCGATACGATATCTGAAATATTTATAATAAACAATTACACAAATGAAACTATTCGATATATGAGTAAATATGCTCCTGCTGCTATTGTCTTTATATACAATTTGTACAAGCGTTGCAATAATCAATTAATCGACGATTATTTTATACAAATCGTGTAATTATTTAGTAATATACGTATAGAGTAAAATCTGGACAAAATAAATTTCCATCGTAACAGTTTAAATGGAAGCTCGAGTCATGTAGTTTTTGTATGGTATGCTCAAAATGATTACAAACAAATACATAATTTTCTCGACATTTTGCATTATTCCGTTAATTTCTGATTATGAAAATAGTTAAACGACAAATTAATATTACTTCCATTAAAATGAATGGCTACAAGTGCCACTAAGCATATAAAAATTATAAAACATATTTATCATATATCATATATCATATATCGTATATTGTAATGTTTACATTGAAGACAGATTATTAATTAAAAATATTTATAAAATGAAAAACAAGTCTTATGACTTCGTAAATGGAAAAAAAAACATAAATAATGAAGTTACTGAATTATTTATCGGATTAAAACAATACGTATATGATAATATTTTATTGTCAACCACAACAAACTGAAATTCCACATTCGGTAACCCGATAACATGATTTCATTGGTCTAATAAAAATTTTAAATGCATATTTAAAGAGCAACACATCAATAATATATAAATTTCACTTGAAATCTTGCATCATTTTAAACATGAAAATTATTTTTATTCGGAAAAACGATATTTTGGCATATAAATATTTTAATATTATGCGATAAGCTCTTTCAAAATTGTTAGAATTGCCATTCATAGGTAGGAGACAATTAAAAAAAATAATTAATTATATAGAAAAGTACTTTCTTTTTTTTTTTTTCAATTTGTAACCCTTTTTATATACTAATATAGTTTTAAAATTATTTCAAATTATTATAATTTTATACTATAAAATAAAAACCATATTTATGGATTATGATAAATATTAGAATAACAATTTAAAATCGTGTATTTTATGTTGTTATGAATATAAAATTTTTTAATCGTTTTTTTCTAGATGTTAGGTCGCTCTTTCGTACATTTAGATTTTTTTTGACAAAGTCTTTTACTGTATTTATAATTATCTAATTCAAATAAGGAATTGTTTAGATCAATTCAGTACATTTGAATTACTTAATATTATTCAATTGTTGAAAAACCGTTGCATGAAATTTTAAAACAAGTCTTATAATTTTGTAACGAACAGTGTAAATTATATTAATTTAATAAAGCAGTGAATACTTTTAAATATAATTTTACCTTATTTAATTCATTCATTTTTATTTGTTAGAATATTTTTCACTCGTTTAAATTTCGAAATGAAAGAAAAACTAAAAAATTTTCTTATGCAATAAATCAACACGTTACACTATTAGACACGTTGATATAATTTTGCTTCACCACTATAAATGCGATTTTTGCGAACCTTTATGCGAATATAAACAATACATAAACATAGTTTTATTCATATTTAAAATATGAAAACGCAAATTTCAAGGAAATTAATTACTTTTTTTACAATACAACATTAGTATATGTAAAAAATTTTATATTCAAGGTAAAATTTCTTCTTCATACTACACACTCGTTCCCATTGATAGATACAGGTGATGAAATCATCAAACATGTATTTACAATCAGAATTTCTTCCATATAATTGTTAATAAATTAAATGTAGATGCAGCTACTTAAATAAAGCTATGTATTCGTAATTAAATCAATGCCTTTATTTAACCGTATTTTTATTTACTGTGATGAAGTTTTATAAAAATAATTTCGTACGCATTATTTTTTTAATAAACCATTAAATAATAAAAGCAATTATACATATATATATATATATATATATATATATGCAGTATCAAATACAAAATATAATAAATTAATAATAATAATATAATTGTTTGAAGATAACAAATAATGCAATAATTTATATTTGAAAATTGCTTTCTTGGGGAGGAGGGCAGTTAATCCGTGATTTTGTAGAAAAAAAAAAATTTTAATTCTAAAAATGGAAATAAATATAGATATCTCATTATAAATAATATTATACAATAAAAGCATTTATTTATAAAATTACAGTATATATTATTGCAGTATTTATATTTTTTAGAATTAAAAATTTGAGACATTAATTTTGTTTTTATGATGAGTTTTCGTTAGTAAAAACTACATATTGTGGATATAATTTAAAATATTTTGTTGAAAAAATACAAAATGTTTAAAAGTCTTAATGCAAAGATTATAGAAAAAAATTAAATTAAGGATTTGATATTTACAATGTAAAAACGGACGGATTGCTTTCTTTTCTATTGCCAAGTCAACAAGTTTCAATTTCGAATTTAACTTTCGAAAAGTGCAATAAAAATAGATTTCACGATTTCACGATTTCGTAATCCTCTTAATATAGTAAAATTTCTTTTCGTTTTTTCTTACGTGAACATAAATTACCAGTATTGATGGAAGAAATATTTGCATTTTTTTTTTATCTTTATATATGTAAAAATATAATGAAAATAAAAAATTGAATAAATGCGATTGATATAACGCTTTCTCGATTTTATTAATTAGAAAAGAAAGAGTAACGGTATTTTACTATTCTTATTAACTAATATTATTATTATTAATACTAATATTATTTTACTCGAACATTTTTCTCTTTAATTAAATTTAACAAAATCTACGAAAGATCGTTATTATTTGATTTGACGAGTACATACATATTTGTATGCATAAAGATAAGATAATGAATATTAGATAAATAATAGAAGGAAAGAAATCAGGAATGAATTGTCACTACAAATATATGCAAACAAAGTAAATTATTGAATTTGAAGATATCGCGAATAACTTATTGCATAATAGAAATTGAATTAAAAGACACGATAAAATTACTAATTTTAATCGTTGAATGTTTTTGTATTGAAAATTTATACGTAAGAATTAACGCACCAATATCAGCGCCACATAAATATATATATTAATTTGA